CTTCCATTTCTTTTTAAACACCAAATAGACGCTTCCAGCTGATTGCGAATTGCGCAAAATGTTATGGTTGCCGCTGAAAACGGTCTCGCATATTTGCAAGATTGTCGTAAAATAAAATGCATGTAAAAATTAACAGCTGTTTTACGATATTGCGAATTTGCGATGTTGCCATACGTTTACGACGTTAAATGAGTACCACTCATGTATTTGTTTATATTAACCCGTGTGTTTTTATTTTTTTGATCTTGAACAATATGAAGCCACTTGCTTTACATACATATACATATATGATAAATATAAACGTAATAGAAATAGAGACGACCAAAAAATTTGTTCTCAACGTTATAATGAATTCATATTTATTTTATAAACATACGTGTATAAATACTACTACTATTTTATTGTAACTATATATACTTACGTATACGTCGTACCCGGTACCCCGCCAAACTATTCGAAACTGTATGCAGGTGTTTAACCGACTCTTTAAGTTATAATAGTTATTATAATTCTTTCATATAGTTCGTTCAAAGCATAAATCATATAAATCAAAAATTAAAAAATTATTAGTTTTGTTTCTAATATTGTATTGTCGTTGTGATATTTTTAATGCAACTGTTTATTTTAAAATTGTAAGTTTACTAGTTTAGTTAATGTACGTATTTTTTGTTTAATTTCAATTAGGCGGCACGAATGGATCAAGCTGCTGGACGTCACAAATCCAACGGCTAAATATTTATTTGCGTGCCAAAGACATTTCTCGTTAAGGATGAGTAAGGGACGGCTTAGATAAGGCAATAGGTTGTAGTGGACAAGTACGTAGTATATTTGACCAACACGAACAAGACATTATAGAATTAGGTAGTGCAGATTTTAACCCGATGCATCTTAGCTCTTCTCCAATTAGAACTGTCTCGACTCGATACTAATATGTTTGAAGTTGAGACTTTGGGTAAATCCCTTCAACCCCTATATAATGAAGATTATACATATTCTTCCTCTTTAAGTAACTCTCAATAGTTAGCACTTATAGTAGGCAAACGCAAACAGAAAGAATGTATCGGGAGGAGTTAGACAAAAAATCGCAGGAAATAGAATTTTTACGCAATAAGGTGAGAGCTTTAGAGAATAAAATAGAAATTTTAGAAAAATTTGTCTATAGTAGGGCAGATTTCCATAGTTACCGTGATCTGTGATTTTGAAATGAGAATTTTAGCGATTAGGTTTGTACGCTTATTATCAATACTTTTTTTTTGTTTTTTAAGATTTTTCATGTACCGAAATGTCGACTCAACATAGGCGCTACTCTTGACCATAATTTCGAAAGAAGATGTGCTGCCGAGAGCCCAAGATGCGGAAGAGATTTGGTCTTCAGCGGAGCCACTCTAGACTTTGCAGTAAGCAGCATGCATTTAATACCACTAGCAGACTGGCTTCGATGTATAAGCATTATTGAGGCGTCAGAGAAGCCATGTATTTGGCAGATGGCACTCGACTCAACGTTTACGTAACGAGGAATGCTTATCGGTGAGGGCTGCAATAGGTTGGCTTTAAAGTTCTGCCAGCTAGGGTCAAGGCCCAATGGAATCGACTCATTCCAATTTAGTTTCTGGATGCAAAGCTCTTGCAAAAAGATTTTTGCTTTGGTAACTAGTGGGGCTAGTAATCCAAGAGGATCAAAAAAGCGAGCAGAAACTGACAATATATGTGACCTGGTCTACGAAAAGGGAGCTAACGTGCGAAGAAAAGTTTTCTGTTAAACAGCTGTTAAAAATCTCATCTTCCATCCGAATCAACTGAAAAGTGAAAATTGATTTTTTGGATTTTTTGACACCTAAGCCCCCTTTCCGTAGACCAGGTCACATATTGCTTTTATTGGCTCGCAGATCATTAAAATTGTCGTCTAAAACCAAACGAAACAAATCCTCTTTCGGCAACAAATGGATTCCTAACGATTTAGTGGAACTTTTGTCATTGAAACTTAATGACTTTTCAGTGCAATCACTGTCGAAAAATTTAGGGTGGTTCGAAAACCATTTCGTTAAGGTGAATCCGGTCGAGTTTAATATTTTGATTACCTCACTTCTCTAAAGATGTAGAGACTCAAAATTTTCGGACCCTGTTAATAAATCATCACCATAAAAGTCTCTTTTGATGGCCAATGAACCGAATGTATATTTCATTGTATTGGCATTACTGAGCATTTGCAAACACCGTGTTGCGAGAAATGGAGCAGGCGCAGTGCGGTATGTTACGGTGTGAAGACGAAAAATTTTAATTTGCTCAGAAGGATGCTCTCTCCACACAATAAGCTGACAATTTCTGTCTTATTCATGCATAATTATTTGACGGTACATTTTAGTAATATCCGCTGTTAGTGCATAAGTAAGCGAAAACGAAAAAGAGTTGAGTATAATTCTTCTTGGATGGTTGGACCTACCATCAAGAGGTCATTCAACACTATTTGAGTTGAAGATCGACTCGAAGCATCAAATATAATACGTAATTTGGTTATTGTGCTCTCGGACCTTAAAACGCATTGATGCGGAATGAAGTAGTGTGGCTCATTCGGGATCTTATTGTTCGTTGGGCTCATGTGACCCAGTGCTCTATATTCATTCATAAAGTCCAGATACATTTTACGAAGTTCTGGATCTTTTAATGTCCTTCTTTCCAGGGCCTCAAAACCTCCGAACTGCTGTTTCATATGAGTGACCGAGTAACTTACGGTCAGCTTTAAAAGGCATTCTTACTTGAAGCCATCCTGAAGGCAATACTTGAGTTGTATTCACGAAAAAGTTTTCACATTCTTGTTGCTCTTGTGTGAATTTAATGCCATTTGAATCTGAAGGTAATTCCGAATCTATTGACGTAAAGTCTTCTTTAGCTTGGCATAATGTGCTATAAAATCTGGGAGGAGAACTTATGTTACCGGCGTATTAGCCAGATACAACCTATCCTAAAAGGGTTTTCTGAAGAGATGGTTGGTTAGGACCATTTTTAATTTGGCCAACTGCTAAAAGATCGAAAAATGTTTCAGCATCCAAAAGGATATCCACTTTTTTAGATTTGTGGAATTCTGGGTCTGCAAATTAAATATTGTGCGGAATTTCCCAGCCACTAACATTGATGTTATGGTCTGAATGATTTGCCGAAATACATCGCATTCCCCAGAATTCCGCCGAAAATTCATAATTATTTAACCGCGACTTGACAAACGCCCTTAGTTTTGACCCCACTTTCGTATTGGAATTGCCAATTTCTATTGCAGTTAATGTTTTGTGCTGACGTCGTATCCGCAACTTCTGTGCCAAGTCCTCAGTCATAAAGTTGACCTGGGAAGCTGAGTCCAGCAACGCTCTCACAGGCAGGTAATCTCCACAGCTGGTCCTCACTAAAATTACTGCTGTTGCCAACATTACCCGATCCGGMATACYKGCTGTATGCATGGCATGTGTGGTGGATGGTTGCGAGTGAGGTCCAACGGGGAAAGAGACGGGATACTGGTGCAACAGTGTATGATGCGATCGATTGCACACACGACTTTGATCCACTCTGCACTTCGAGACCGTAAACAATTTATGCATAAGGGAACCGATTTCACGAACTCGAACCTCTGCTGCACTGGAAGCGCCTTGAAGGTGGGGCATGCAGTCAAATGGTGATCCCTCGATTTACACTGCTGACAAAGAGGCTGCCTCGTATTTGCTGCAACTAGCGCCGATCTTGTCCTGTCCATATGTTAATGTTTCCCATGACTCGCATTGCTTGTTGGTATGGGATTCATCCTTGAGTGTGATGCTCCCTCCGCTGATAGCTGCTGGTCTCTCCTATATAGGGTGGCTTCACAGTCCTTCCACAGTGGCAGTTTGTCATAGTCCAGCAGTCCAGCGCTTCTTCCCATTTGGATCAGGTGGCAGGGTCAACCTTTGTCATTACTAAAAGTACTATAATAGCGTTTGTTATCTGTTTCTCATCGCCCAGCGATAGCAATGAGTCATATACCGCTGACACTTCATCAATCGTTGATCGCAATGAAAGCGCAGATGGCTTTGGGATGGTTGGCAGCTCAAAAAGTTTAGATATTGTATTGAAAAATATCAAACATTTATTATCATCATCTTTTTTGAGACTTGCTAACGCTTTCGGATAATTTTTATCCGACATCTAAAACGCTTAAACTGTTCCCAACGCCTCTCCAGGTAGACAATTTACCAAATAGTTAAATTTTTCAAAATCTGGGATATTTGGTTCATTATGAACCAAACTTATAAAATTTTTACAAAAGAGGTTTCGGCAAGTGAAGTTTTATTTTTCGCTAAAATTTACTTGATTATGGACTTCGTTTCAACGATTATGTCCTCTAACTCCCCTCATGGGCCATGTCGACTTCATCAATTTCTTCAATCTTTGATTGGCATTTCATTAATTTTTCACTATGTGAAGTTAATATGTCGAGGCGACATTAAAATTCGATTGAATATAAAGACATAGTTTTTTCGAGAAGGAACATTTTAATACGCAAAATACTACTTTTCTCAAACGTTCTTTGACGTCTTTACGATTTTAAGTCCGTCAACTCCTTACTTGGAGACAGGTTTGCGAGAGTTGGCTTTTGGCTTGCTCATTTTGCCTTATATCACTTGGCAACAGATATATAAAGAATCGACAACGGAAACGAAAAAATATATAAATCGATTTCCCAAATATACGAAAGCCAAACCAATAAGGTATAAGAAATGACCAAAAGCTATAAAGGTTGGCAACAAATATATTTGGAATCGGCTGCGAAATCGAGAAAGGCCTGCAGCTCGAACTATTTTCTCCAGAAGCATGTTGAAAAAGTCGCACGATAAGGAATCGCCTTGTCTAAAACCTCGTTTGGTATCGAACGGCTCGGAGAGGTCCTT